TTTGTGTTGGTATAAGGCAAGGATGTTTTACGTATAAATAAAATATATCTATCTATCTATGTATTTTTTAAAAATATATTTCATTGATTTTTTTACAGAGAGGAAGAAAGAGGGAAAGTCTGAAACATCCATGAGAGAGAAACATCGATCAGCTGCCTCCTGCACATCCCCTACTGGGGCTGTGCCTGCAACCAAGGTACACACCCCTTGACCGGAATTGAGCCTGGGACCTTTCAGTCCCCAGGCTGACACTCTATCCACTGAGCCAAACTCATTTCGGCTAAAGTATAACTTTTTAACCACACAGGGGTTCTACAAATAAAGTTTATTTTCTATACTTTATGGTTGTGGTATTAGAGTCTCATTGATGTGACTTCTTCTTCACTGATTTTGATCTTGTTCCTAAGCAGAAAGGTGAAGAATGGATACCTGTGAGAAGGGATGATTGTATACTGGGGCAGTGGGGGGGGGGAGGGGAAGAATACCTTTACCTGGTTTTGTGCCGGTTTTTGAGACTGTTGATTAAATAATGCCCAGTGGTGATGAAAGTCAGCAGTGTCAGAAGTGCCAAAGCTATACCCATTATGATGGTTGTCGTACTGTTGGGCTTAACAACTGCAATATAGATGTTGCACTATCAGTTTCCCTGGAGAGAATTGTTCCCACATTCACTTCCTGCTCAGTGAATTCCCAATCATTTCCCTCTAAGAGGAATACATTGTGGATCCTCCATCTATCTCTATTTCCCTTTCAAAATATTGCTAATTAGTACATGCAAGCCTTCATTCAAATATTTCTTACTCAGCTTATTTGCTTAGAAAATAAATGTAAGCAAATAAATTCAGTTCTTCCATGAAAGTGTAGCAATGTAACAGTATGAACAGAATGGAGTGTTGAGCAAAGAGTAGGTCAGGGAGGTAACCTATGGGATTTATTCAAGGTTGAAGCTGGTAGCCTGGGACAGCATGAAATAATCAAGGGACTAGAGGTCTCTAGGTAGCTGACAATCTCGTGAAAACAGAGATAAAGTATAAGTTGGAAGAATTTGAAGTTGTGCTAAAACAGTGAGATATTGGGGTTTAATGTTTTAGAACTGAAACATGGATCAAGCCCACGGTTTGACACCGGCAGTGGGCAATTGAAGTGAAGTGGGTTTCTGTTCCTATTCCTGGAACACTTGCTGCCTTTCCCTTTACCATTCTTATTGGACAATTTCTTTTAAAAATATTTTTATTGATTTCAGAGAGGAAGGGAGAGGGAGAGATAGAAACATCAGTGATGAGAGTCATTGATTCATAGTCTCCTGTATGCTCCCATTGAGGATGGAGCCCACAACCTGGTGAAATCCTGACCTCTTGGCTCATAGGTCCATGCTCAAATACTGAGGCACACCGGCTGGGCCTTACTGGACAACTTCTACTTACTCTTCAGTCAGCAGGTACAATATTATCTCAGAGAAGCTGATGTCGAGAAAAAGTGCCTAAAACACAGAACTAAGGCAAAAACAAATTTATGTCTCTTTAATATCATGCGAAAACATCTAGTAAAGTTATCTAAGGACGATCTGACTTAGGGGAATAAAGCTTTGTTATGGTTTTATTGACCTATAGAATATTAACTTAGCAGTATTATTTTAGGATTGCTTTTTTTCCCCCCACTGATTTTTGAACCAGCCTTATTATGCATTCTTTCTCTCACGTTCAAGCTAGTTAAAATTATGGCACTGATTTCTATGAAAATTATGATTTTGATGTTTTGAAAATTTCACTTTGCCTTCTTCTCCTCTACTTTCCATAATCTATTTGTCCTTTGTATTTTCATGGTACCCTGTGCTTGTTCCATTCATTGTATTATATAAACTGAGTTTAAGTCAGTCAAAGAATATGTATTGAACAGACACAGAGCATCAAAGAATATGTATTGAATTCAACTTAGGTGCCACATACAGTGACAGGTGTGAGTAAGACTGTGGTGAACAAGAAATAGTGGGAGATGATTCAAATTAGAGGACGAATGAGGATGAGTAGCCTGTATCACAACTTAAAACTTAGTCATATGGAATTTTCTCCAAGGAGGCTGCAGAGAGCATCAGGGGCCAGGCTCCCAGTCTCACTGCGACCCACAGGCAAACCCGCCCTGGATCCCATATGTACGTGTGACCCAAGGACACAGCCCTTAGTCCACTTACTTAAGTAAACAGCAGCAACAGAGAGAGGTGTGAGTATCTGCAGCTAAGCGAACAGCCGGGGACCCACCTGCCTCTAGCTGGCAGCTGCGGGACTGAGCTACTGGAACAAGACGCCTCTGCTACCATGACAGCCACTCCCTGGGCACAGCACCAGCTTGGAGAGGGTTTATAAAGTTCTCCTTGGGAGGAGGCTGCAGGGAGGGGTAGCGGCTAGGCGCCAAGCCTCACCACCATCTGGACTCACCAAGGCCTGGGCCAGAACCCATGTGCACCTTGCCCCAGTCTGTATTAGCCCCCAGAGGTCATAATGCAGACCCACATGCCTGCAACAGACACAGTCCACGCCTCTGTGCACCTGGCAGGCACCCAGCCTGAACCCGTACACCTGACGGGACCCAGCCTGGACACTGTACCACCGTAGTGTGACCATCAGTGACCTGCAGGATTCTTGCCTCAGCCGCATACTCATCCACTGCCACCTCTACTGGGCTGCGACCATAGCTCTAGAGCCCAGATGCTCAGCTCCACCACCAGGGCTTGTGGGCAGAAACTGCACTGAAGGCCTGGAGGTACATGTAGCACCCCCCCCCCCCCCCCGACCTGGACCTATTGAACTAGTGGCCTGATGAGAAGAACATTGGTGGGTGAGATGGGAGGGCCTGGGACTGAGAGAGGAGGCCTCGAGGGCACTGGCTGTGGAGACTTCGGAGTGGGTGCAGCAGTGGAAGCCTGGGCTAAATTTCCTGCATAGAGTAGTGCTAGCACCCTGCCATTGTGGAGTCTGGGAAGCTCCTTGTACTTGTTCCCTGTACTATATTGAGCAGTGGGTATCCTATATAATAAAGATGTAATATGCAAATGGTCGTTATGCCTTGATGTGTAATGACCGACTGTGTAATGACCAGATCATGAATCAGCAAGAGGGTGGGGCAGTGAGCTACAAGCAGGTGGTGGAGAGCTACAGGAGGGGCAAGGCAGCAAGCTAAGGGGACACAATGGGAGCTACAGGAGGGTGGGACAGCAGCAGAGAGCTACTGGAGGGCAGCAGTGAGCTACTGGCACACCTATTTGTGCACAGGGCTACTATCAATAGTAGAATGATAAAAAAGAACCATGCTTCCCATCTTGAAGAAACTTACTGCATACTGAAAACCACTGATAATAAATACAAATGCACAAGGAAACATATGCATAATTGCATCTGTTTTATTACCAATATTGTAAAAGAGAATAATCTTGAAACCTAATTCAACTGGGGGGAACAATAAAAGAAAGACTCTCTAAAAAAAGTAATACTTTATCCAAAACTAGAGAGCAAGTAGGAGGTATCCAGATGAAGAGTAAAAAGAATAGTTCAAAAGCTACCACATAGAAATGGGATTCATTGATCTTGGGAACACACTTATTTATGCAGTCATATTCATATAGGAAATGTAAAAGTTTGAGTTTAAGTGGAGAAAAGTGGAGTTAAAGTGAAATCCTACGTAATTTGCCCTCTCCCTAGTTCTGAAACTTTATCCCAGTTCATCTCTCTTTCTCTGAAAATAGTTCTGGGCTAGGAGACTAGGAACTTGAGCTTGGTTCAGATTGACAAATGGCCATAGACAAGTTCTAGTTCCCTTTGTACATGTCAGTTTCTTCTGACTTTCTCTGGGGATATATGAGGATATTGTAATGGCAGGTACACATTATTTTCATCGCCCTTTTAACCTCTTTCCAGAGACTGTGGTTACTAGATGAATGGCCCTTAGTTCAGATGAGGCTTTGATGGATCTCAACATACAAATGTGGAGGTAGGAGTTCAATAAAATTGAGTTTTTCTCTATAATAGAAATAAATAATTCAGTGTGTATATATGAGAGTGTAAGGCACAGTTCAGGAAAGAAAGGGAAAAGCAATGAAGAGTGAGTATGGATGGAAAAGAGGGATATAGAACTAGGGACATAGCAGAATTTTGTTGTGACCCCACCATGTCACCCTATCATTTTGTAAATAAGTTCTGCTAAGAAGAAAGCCAAAATAGAGTGTTCCAGTCAGAGGAAGCAGCAAGTGTGGTGACCCGATGTAAGACAAAGCTTGGTGCCTTTGATGACCTGGTCAAAGCCAGAGTGACCAGGACTCAGAGAAAGAGCAATTAACTGGGATGAAGTTTGCAAGCCAACAAGAGAAAATTACATAGATCTTCACTTTGACTCCACCTCTCTCCACTTGGTCTCATGGCCATTTCTGTACTTGTCATCACCTGGAATAGTTCCACATCTGATTTATACTCAAACGTTTAGATTTCCAATGTGAACATGGCTGCATATGGTCGTGTGTTCCTCTTCTATTTTTAAAAAAATAAAATATGAGCCAAAGAGAAGCAAATTTTAAAAATGCAAACACCAGAATATAAAATAGATATAAAGACTGCTGAAAACAGCTGTGATCCATAGAAGCCATGTGGGAGAAAGTGAAGAAAGGTGTAAGAATGGTGAGAAGAGTATGCAATGGAAAATATCAGGAAGCAGTAGGAAAAATATCCTTACTGAGCATGAGGGGAGTGCATTAAAGATCAAAATTTACATGTTTGTAACAAATGGTTTAGGAACTGAGGTGTACATCCTAGATACATTTTTGCTTAGGGCATGAGATATGCAAATATCCACGCACATGAGCAATGTTGGTAAGAAGAAGCCTGTCTCTGTGGCAGCAGTTGAATGAGAGAATCAGCGAGACTATACTGGCCTTCCTGACTTAAGAAACTTGTGGAAATAGGTGGTCCAGGAAAATACAATGCATGCAATATTGGGTAAAACAATAACACTGGCAGAGCAACAGTAGAAAGATTACTAGTACACATAGAAAAAGATAATTATGATTTACTAGAAAATTCAGCCATAGAATAGATAAATATTATAGCCATAAATTTAAAACCTATTATGAATAATAACCTCTCTGAAGAAGTATCACAAAGCAGAAATACATAAATTTAAGAAAAATGTGGCAAGACAACAGCACCTAGCAGATATTAAAAAAAAACAAAAAAAACTGAAATATATCCTATATAATAAAAGCCTTGCTGGCATCATGCCCTCGCTTAACACCCTCAACAACGTCATCACAAGATGGCCACCACAAGAGGGCCACCACAAGATGGCCACTCACACAGTGGAGCAGGGCCTGGTGGCTGCTCCACAGAGTGAGGCCTGGGGTCCTGTGGCTCTGCGTAGCATGGAGGAGGCAGGTCCCAGTGGAGGAGGTGGGTTGTAGCAGGGGAGGGTAGTTGTGGGTGATCAGGCTGGCAGGAGAGGGCAGTTGGGGGCAATTGTGCTGGCAGGGGAGGGTAGTTGGGAGCAATCAGGCTGGCAGGCAGGCGATTAGTTAGGAGCCAGTGGTTCGGATTGTTAGAGGAATGTCTGACTGCCCTGTAGGATCGGGCCTAAACCAGCAGTCAGACATCCACTGAGCCGCCCAGGTTGAAGAGGGTGCAGGCCAGGTTGAGGTACAACCCTCAACCCCCCTGCCTCGTGCACCAATTTTGTGCACGGGGCCTATAGAACATATATATATATATATATATAAGTCCTCAGGTTATGTTAGACTTGATATACATCATTTCGTGGGTACCTCACCATCTCCCATTTATTTATTTTAAAAAATTTCCATCATTTTGACGTATGAACATGTGTGTTTTATGTTTTTTATTATTTATTTACCACAAGTAAGTTCAGGAATTGTTATCTTACTTAAATTTTTTTTTTTTTTTTTACTGTTTCACTTCATTACTCCTGTGTTTGTGCTCTATGTGTGTGAGGTAGGTGCTTATGTAGGTAGGTTCCAACTTATGGTGAAAATCACATTACGTTGTACCATAGGAATGTATCACTGACATAACCCGAGGACCTAGTGTATATATCTCAAGATATATCACAATCCATAACTGCATGTCAGCAGGAAGTTGATCTGCATCTAGGCTCATAGTATTTTTTCAATAGGCCATCTAAATAGAGGAGAATACAGCAAGGTTTAGGGAGCTCAGGCCAGGTGGCATAGTTGGTTGTAGCTTTATACAGTAGACCAAAGGGTGTGGGTTTGGTTCCCAGTCAGGTCACATACCTAGGTTGCAGGTTCAATCTTGGGGCTGGATATATGTGTGGGAGGCAACCAATTGATGTTTCTCATTCACATTGATGTTTCTCACTCTGTCTCTCTAAAAATCAATAAATGTATCATATTCATAGGTAAAGTTTTAAGAAAAAATGGCTGAGGAGAAACGTATAAAATGAGAAGCATGAGAGATTAACCTATTGGAGGGCTAGTAATGAGAAAGTCTGAAACTGCTTTTTTGGTGAAGAGTGCTATGGTTTGCATGTCTATGTCCCCTCAAAATTCATATGTTGAATCCCAATGCCCGATGTGAGGTCGTGAGCTCATTGACGGGATTAGTGTCCTTATAAAAGAGACCACCCTGCAACCCCCTCACGTTCCCTATCCCTTCTACCAGTGAAGACACATGGAGAGGTTGGCTGTCACAGCCTGGAAGAGGGTTTTTACCAGAACCTGACTATGCTGACACCCTGATATTGAACTCTCAGACTCATTTTTGTTGTTTATAAGCTATCCAGCCTGTGGTAATTTGTTATACCAGCCTGAAAAGATTAAGGTATGAAGGTCCTATTCCATGGAGAGGTTAAGTAGGTAAAGACCGGGAAATTGTCAGGAAAGGATGAAAGAAGGTAGAAAAAACAGGGGAGGGGGAGGGAGTTGGGTCTTGTCAACGAGACTGCTGTGGATGTGATGAAGAGAACAGAACCAAGCTCATGTGCTTATAGCTGCCACCACTATGGAGTGTGAGCATCAAGCCCATTTTGGGGGCACAGTGAGGGGAGAGGGAGAACTGACCTGCTATGGACAATTGCTCTTCCTTTTTCTGATTCAGAACAGGGTTCCAGACAGAACATGTCAGATTCTTCTGAGAAGTTTCACTGAGGAGCAGTGATATTTTTACATGGAACAAGCCACTTTTGTCCTGTGTGTGAGTCTCAGACTCAGCTGGAATTTCTCTTCCCTCAGAGTCCATCCATTGGATCTTTGGCTGAGGGAACCAGCCCTCTGACTTGCACTCTAATCGGACTTGTTGCGATTCAGTGACTTCCATGTGGAACTGAGGATATGAGCCAAGAGCTAGGAACAGGAAGAGAGAGAAGTCAGGTCCTATACTTATTACACACACATCTTTCCCCTGCTTCTCAAGAGTTTTTGCTGCTGACTGGATCTCAGAATAGGAAACTGAGGCTTTGGGGAAATCTTAGCAACAAAGGATGGAACCAACAGAAATGGCCCCTGCCTATTGCTTGACTCCCACTGGGAGTCTCTTTACTATCCTTTCCTTAGACCCAAGCAGGATATATGAGGTAATGGGGTGAATAGAAGTAGTAGCCATCTACATTTCTCCTATGACTTCTTTATATTTCACTGGAAAATTGGATCAGAGGGAGTAGCCCACCCCAGAATAAACTCACCCCTGTGGGGTGTCAGGGCAAGAAATGTGGGCCATTACCTGCCACTTTCAGCTCAATCACTGCATCACTGTAGAAGGAACCATTTTTGAATGCACAGCAATACTGCCCATTGTCAGAAGGCTGCACATTGATGATCCTCAGAACCACTATCCCCTTATGCATGACATTTTTCACAAGCTCTGCCCTCCCTAAATACTTCTCCATGGCTTCCTCAGGCTTGTCCCTCCCATCCTCATACAGGTACACCACTTGGGAGGGCAGGGATCTGCTCCATCTTATTTCCATATTTTTAACATCTTGAGGAGGCAAGAGGAAGCAGGGCAGCTCAGCTTCACCACCCAGCATGGCCACCAAGGGTTCATGAGGCCCCTGGACTTGGAATACTCCTAAAAACAGAATAGAGATGGAGTCAGAGTGGGCAGATGAAGTGGGATTGACTGCGTATACATTTGGCTATTTCCATTGTAACTAACTCTTGGGTCAAGGTCTGAAAGTGGATAGTTGCTGGGTCATGGGGATCTCTTTTCCGACCTGAATATTCAGATAGCTAGGAGGATGCAGAAGATGTTAGCCACAGGAGGTCTAGGCTAGCTAAAATTAGGCAAGGGCAAAAAATTTGAGGATGCACTCACTTGGGGGTACAAGTGCACAGTACACAAAATCCTGAGAGCAAGTGGATCTTTAAAATTTGTGCCCTAGGCTCCTCATTTGACTCACCCTGTGGGGAGGGACCCAAGGAATGCAATCACAGGAGATGGGTAATAGACATGTTAATCCCCTTAGGTCAGGTGCTGACCTCTGGATGGAGAGTTGGATAACTGTATTGAGAAAGAATCTGAAGCAGCTCAGTGGAAAAGATATTTGAGATTCATTAATAATGTTTGCCATGAGCGTGCGATGAGAAAACTGGGGCATACAAACTAGTTTTTGCCAATATTAGTCTACATAATCTTGAGGCTCTAAGAACTTATACTTACCATATGGGCACTTTCATTTTCTCTCAATCTTTATCCCACCAAATGTCCATTTATACTTAGGTGTACACACACACACACACACACACACACACACACACACAGAGGCTTGGACCAGGAGATACAAGTAAAATGCCTAGTACACTTCCTGGTACTTAGTTAAGTGGAATAAAGTTATCTTTTTTACTTTTCCAGGATCTCATAGCATTTGTATTTTTGTCAAACTTCTGGTTCCATCTTCCCTCTTTTTTTTTTCCCCTTCCCCTTACATAATAGAGAATCAGAGACTCATATAAGGATTCCTACCTACACCCATTATGAACATCTGGAGGCAGAGGTAGAGTGAGATGAAGTTGCCATGATAAATTGGAGAGACTCTCTGCCACCTCAGGTCATGGAGGAAGGGTGATCCCCAGGCACTGTGCTGGTGACTCATTGGAAAAGGAGGCAAACACTGTAATAGGAGAGAGAGAAGAAAAGAGAATTCTGAGTCAAGGGGCAGAGAAAGAAATGAAGGCAGAAATCTGTCTCTTGGGCAGGGAAGGGGAACATTTCACCTATGGGAGTAAGGTGAGGAGCAGAATAAGTTTCTTGCTTTTTTCCCCTACAAGTTTGGGATTTTTGATTTTACAGGGCACTCATGGCTTCAATCACCTACTACATGCTCATTCCCAAATGTACATCATCTGACACAATGTCTGGTAGTGGCAGGACCCTGATTCTATAGGGACCAGGAGCTAAGGGCTCTCTCTGCCTTGGACCAATAGAAAAAAATAGGTGGCTTCTATCATTTCCCACCCCACTACCTCACCTGTCTGGCCAAGGCAGGCTTATGATATCCCATTCTAGTAGCAGTAGTGAGGAAAGTATTGTAACATGCATCAGCTACTACAAAATCCTGGAATTTAGTGGGTCTGACCGTGAAGTTTGCTGCCCAAGGCCTAGAGCTCAGAAATCTTGCTACTCAAGATAGTCTACAGAAAGCTGGCTCAAAGAATGGGAGGAAGGTATTCTAAAGGTCATGTGTTTTTTTTTAGGGGGAGATAATGCACTTTTTCTGTGGGGTAATGGATCCTGAGCTGGTAGAGGCATGTGGTATATAATTGTGCAGGGTCTTAAGGAACATGGAAGCACTATAGAGATGGAGCATATATTATCTCTCCATGGACTAGGCAGCACTTCTCCTGGCACAGAGAGAACATGGTGTTTTTTTTTTGGGGGGGGGGGGGGGCAAAATGTACTAAACTGAAAAAAAAATTAGGCTATGTGGGCTTCATGGGAAAAATGATTTTCTTTATATTATATAATTTTAAGAATAAAGAAATAGAATTTATTAAAAAGATATGTGCCCCCCCCCCCCAAAAAAAATGTACCCAGCCAGTTTGTAGGGCATCATCACATCATCATGTTCATTGAAAGGTTGCTGGTTCAGTTCTTGCTCAGGACACATGTCTGGGATGCAGGCTCAATCCCCAGAGGGGTGAGTAGGAGGCAGCCAATTGGTGTTTTTCTCCTCTGGATAATATTCTCTCTCTCTCTCTCTCTCTCTCTCTCTCTCTCTCTCTCTCTCTCTCTCCCTCCCTCCCTCCCTCCCTTTCCCTCTCCCTCTCCCTCTCCCTCTCCCTCTCCCTCTCCCTCTCCCCTCCTCCCTCTCCTTCCCCTCTCCCTCTCCCTCTTCCTCTCTCTCTCTCTCTCTCTCTCTCTCTCTCTCTCTCTCTCTCTCTCTCTCTCTCTCTGCAAAAAAACAAAAACAAAACAAAAACATATATTATAAAGAAATATGTTAAATATAAATGTAGAAGGAATAGCTCTAAAAAGCTTAAGGTTTTCAAAAATGCTTTATTGTTTAAAGTATTACATATGTCTCCTTTATTCTCCATTGACCTCTCACCAGCAGTTCCCATCCCCCAGCCATGTCCTCACCCCCTACTCTCTGTGACCTTGTGTTATGCTTATATGCGTGAATACAAGTCCTTTGGTTGCTCTCTTACTTCCTTCCCCACCCAACTTCCCCTGCCTTCTCTCATAGTTTGGATGGTCTGTTCAATGCTTCTATGTCTCTGGATCTATTTTGTTCATCAGTTTATGTTGTTCATTATATTGCACAAATGAGTGAGATCATGTGATATTGATCTTTCTCCAACTGCCTTAATTTGCTTGGCAAAATGCTCTCTAGGTCCATCCATGCTGTTGCAAATAAGAGTTCATTCTTTTTTTTTTTTTTTTTTTTACAAAAGCATAGTATTCTACAGTTTTGTAATCCACTTGTCTGTTGATGGGTATTTAGGCTGTTTCCAAATCTTAGCTATTGTAAATTGTGCTGCTATGAACATAGGGGTGCATAAATCCTTTATGATTGGTATTTCTAGTTTCTTGGGATATATTCCTAGAAGTGGGATCACTGGGTCAAAAAAAGCCAGGTGGGGAATGGATTGCAGGATAGCTACCAAGATAATGTGTTCTCTTGAGAGAGGTATGGCTTATTTCAAAGGTTTGTTAGCCACATTAAAACATTTTGAAAAGTATTCATTATTTTGAATAAATACAGCTTTTGAACTTCCGATTGTATACTTGAAATAACTACACATAATTATAAATATTCAATGATAATTATTAATGATGTCTTCAATTTCTTCATAGTCACTTTTGGTGAGATATTTTAGTTGTGTAACTAAATTTGTATTTGCATAAATACAAATTTTAAAATCTTTCTCATGTCCATTCTTTTATTTAAAAAAAATATTTTTATTGATTTTTAGGGAGATGCAAAGAGAGAAAGAAGCATCCATGTGCAAGAGAAACATTAATTGTCTACCTCCTGCATGCCCCCTACTGAGCCCACAACCTGGGCATGTGGCCCAATTGAACCAGCAACCTGCCAGTGCACAGGATGACATCCTACCAACTGAGCCACACAGGCAAGAACATTCTCATTCTATTAAATTGCATTTAAAGAACATAAATACTGTTTCCTTTGACTTACAAATATAATGGATTTAAAATCCAATTGAAGTTTTTCATCCAATATTTCAAAATAAGGAGTTTTACCTTGTAGAATGTGCATGGGATGTTAAGATAATACCTTTACAGTTAGTTTGCACATACTATTGGTACCAATTGCAAATTGACAAAAAGTATCTGATATAAGTGAGGACAGTGTTTGGATGCTGCTGATTTAAGCTTCACCAGGAAACCCTGTCTGGCCTCTTTGTTCCTCCAATCCACCACAGGTAGGGCCACATTTGGGCACCTTGAGCACCTGCATTTTGAACTCTTCCTATTGCTCTATGGGGTCCTTTTCCTGAAGGGCAGCAGCATTCGGTGCAGTGGACTGAAGACTAAATCTAGGCAGTCGATCAAGCAGAGTGTGTAATTGCTGTAACCAAACAAAGTTACACAGAAGTTGTTCTTCCCATTTGCTGCTCATCTTGCAAAGCCATCTGAAGCATCCAAGTGGTGGGAAAATTGTTATAAGACATGCTTAAGGGTGAAGCATGAAGTCCTACTGGTATCTGTACTGGTACATGGTACCTTCAACTAAGTGAGGGCCTATTTCCAAATCTCTTGAAAGTGTAGAAAATAACAGGTTAGGAACAAAATTTCTTGGCAACTATCTTTCTTAGGGGATACTGCATACTCTAGGACAAAGGCTGCTTCCTAATAATGGCATAGAGGGGAAACTGTGGAAAGGATACAGAGATCTAATAAGTGGTTGAGAGGTTTCAGAGAAAGGTGAGGAGGATCTTAGCAAAGAGTTCCAGGGTGTTAGTGCCGAGCTCTTCACGTAGTTAATTTTGAACCCAAATAATTTTATAGAAACTAACTGTAAAATTAAAATGCCCACTACAACAATGCAGCACCCCAGCTCTAGTTAGGGGGTCTTACTTTCTAAAAGCAGGAATTTAGAGTGCTTTACCAGCTTCCAATCATACTTTGCTCAATCTGTCAGATGTTCTTTTAAATTTCTTTAGGGACTCTACTTGGTCCAACCTGGCTACTTCCTCAGGCTACCCTGAAATCACCAGCTATGAACAAGCAGATTGTCAAATTACAGCGGGGAGGGGAGGAGGATCTGGGGGAGATAATAGATCAACCGAAGGACTTGTATACATGCATATAAGTACAACCAATGGACATAAAACTATGGGGAGGGAGGGGATATGGGGGAGGGAGGGAGGGGGGCAAAAAAAATCATTAAAATATGTAAAAAAAATAAATAAATAAATTAAAAAAAAAAAGAGAGAAAATGATATAAGAAAAAATCTAAAAAAAAAAAAAATTAAAAAAAAAATAAAATCCCTCTGTGCTCTGCTTATTCATCCCTTCCCTCCTCAATCCCCTGGAAATCATTGCTATTTTCACGATTGCCTTAAGTTGCCTTTTCCAGAATGTCATATATTTTATATTAAACA